GTTGTCTTGTTTCAATTCTGTCTACACTGGAATATACAGTATTTGTCCTCCTTCTAATATCTTCATTCCTGATATGATCTGTTTTAGATACACCACACGCTCTCTTTAGAAAATCCATTTCTACTACTTCTATTCTTTTTCTATCTTTTCTCGTGATATGCCAAACTTCTGCCGCATAAGTCATAATAGGCTCTACCAAGGTTCGATAGATTGTCAATTCCGTTTCTTGTTTAATATATTTAGAGCATAGTAGAGAGTTTAGAATGTTAACCGCTTTTTTCCCTACTACGCTCTGTTTTCGATGTCTCTTTTGGTAGTGCCTTCTTTAGATATTATAGATCCGAGATATATATATATATATATATCTATTCCTTGCATGTTTTTGTGTTTCTAATTTCTAATTCTGGATCTTCTTCATCATCTCCTATTTTAAGATACTCAGTCTTTGACATATTCATATTGAGGCCCCATTTTGCACATTCTTTCTTTAGTTTTCTAAACATGTAGTCCATGTCTTCCTCATCATTCGCTACGACTACCTGATCATCTGCTAAAAATAAAGTTGTTAGACATTTACCATCGCCTATGTCTCTCCCATTCCAAATACTTGTTTCCTCCACTGCTCTAGTGATGATTGAATATATATTTTAAATAAGGTCGGAGATAGACAACATCCTTGTTTATGCCCCTTTGTTATTGAAAATGATTCAGATATAAAGTTTCCTTCTTTAACGACAGTTTTTGCATTTTTGTATATATTTGCCATAGCATCCACATACTCTTTACTAAGACCTACTTTCGTCAAAGTTTAAAACAGTTTTTTTAAAGGTACCGTATCGTATGCCTTCTCTAAATCTTCAAACAATAGGTGGGTAGATAGATTCCTTGCCTTCCGTTTTTCGATTACCTGCTGCACGATCTTTCTGCACGAAATCCATTTTGTTCTTCTATGTCTTCGTATTCTGATTATATTCTTTTTTTATTATTCGACCGTACAACCTCCCCACTGAGCTGATATCAGTTATTCCCCTATAATTAGAGCATTTGCGTTAATCCCCTTTCTTGAATATTGAGCTGATGTATCCAATATTCTAATCATCAGGGATATTTTGTCATTTTAAGCATTTGTTACGTAGTTGAACCAACATCTCATGTAATATTTTTGGTCCATACTTTATCACCTCAATTGGGATGTCTCCAGGTCCTGCTGCTTTACCGTTTTTCGATCTTTTGAGGGCATCGTTTAACTCTCCGGTTAATATCTCACTTATTTGTGTGTCTTTGAATATTTCTTCCATTTCGATCTCTTGAAATTTACATCTATCCTTTGTCAGTAAGACCTCATAATGGTGGTTCTACTGTTTTAGATATATTAACTGTAAGTTAGACTTTTCCTTTCCTTCCCTCCTTGTAAATAACACACATATCAAATTTTATTGAGAGTAAACTAAATGTAACACCAAGAACTTACCTTGTCGGGATAGTATTATGAGGTTTTTTTCATGGTTTTTTTTTTCACATCAGATGCTATGATTTTTCTGACGGATATTCGCAAGTTAAAGTTGATTTAATGTAATCGAATGAACTGCCTTACAATAAAGTCGTCCCAGTAACGCAACTCAAGAATATTGTCAATATCATTCTAAAGTTGTGTACTTTAAAATGTATAATTATATGCCTGAATCGTCAATATAATGAGGCAGATAAAATAAAATTATTAGAAAAATTTTTCACCAAGTAACAAACCACAAGATTTGTTTAATTTATTAATGTTTTGTGTTTTGAGAACTATTTCCGGGGTGGAAATTGAAACGTCAACTATAAAATTATTTTAAACTTAAATTGTGTCTTATTCCCAATAAAAATAGTAATTGCATTAAGATTTCACAAGAAAATAGCTTTAAAACAATACTTTTTGATCGTTATGTAAAAGGGATGTTAATTACGTTACCATAATTTCTTGAGAAGAAACTTGCAGCTTTGCTCTTTTTTGTAATTTTCGATCGGTTTTTCATCGAAAAGTAGTTAGTGGTTTCCGTGATATCATTATGTTGGTATCGTCAATAGTAGCTATGATTCCTAATGTTCCTGATTTGAGCTCTGTATAAGAATTGCCAAGATCCACCCCCAATTACCTCCATGTTTTCTCTAAAAGTAGCAAATCGTTCACTACTATTTGCTTTTATCCCGACTTTATAGATAATGGAAACCGTTTATCTACTAATCATCGTTTTTATAAGTCATTTTGTAAGTTTTCTGTGTCGTTTAAGCGTCTTTCGTTTATATTTTTATTTAGTCCCACAAGTACGGAAAATATTCGAATCCACACCTACAATCTCTCAAGCTATGATTTTCAACAGGAAAGAAGGTGGTGCTAGTGCCTCTGGTAGATTGTTCTTGAAAGATTTTTGATAGTTACCCAACTCCTTCTTGCCTTTAACTATTTTACTGTTAACTTATTACAACTGCTGCTTTTCCAAATGGCTTCTCCCCTAGTTTGGTTTAGCTATAATAAAGGAATAATGCGTTATAGGAATTTGTATAGGATTGAGAACCATTAAAAAAAACAATACACCCCAGAATACTGTACACAGGATTCTGTGGAAAGACTTTTATGAAATCAGATTGATAACATGTTAGAAAATAAGAGGTATAGGAACAGTTGTACATCTGTCTAAACATACACGGAGGCAGACATAAATTCTGATCATGTACCAGTTGTAGGTAATTTCACAGTCAGAATGAAGAAGGTTACACGTAAGTCAATGAAAAAGTATGATGTTAGAAAATTGAAAAATTCAAATGTTCGACTGAAGGTGAGTAAAAACCTTAATACAAAGGTGCAAAATGCAAAAATGTAGGAACTATAGAGGAAAGTGTGATCATTATACAAAAAACAGTGAGAGAAATAAAAGAACAACACCTGAAGAAAGATACAGAAAAACGGAAATCGTGGATGACCGATGAAATACTTGAACCAAGAATATAAGGGAATATATACCATCGTCAGAAAAAGAATAAGACAAGCCGCCAATGAGAAACAAAAACAGAACAATGTCAAGAAATAGAGAAGTATCAGAGTCGATATAATAACTTTAATGTTCATCGAAAAGTGAAGGAAATAGCTGCAAAGTTCGGAAAACGCAAAAGCGAAAAATAACAGATGTTGAAGATAACCTTGCCATAATCAAAGAAGATAAAAAGAAAGTATGGGAAGAAAACTTAAAAAAAACTTTTCCATGATCTTAAAACAATACAAAAGCCCCACATTGAAGAAATTTCAGGTCCCGAAATCCTACCAGAACAAATAACGGCAGTCGTCAGACAAATGAAGGATGGGAAGGCACCGGGACTTGATGAAATTCCTGAAGAACTATTGAAGCTATTAGATGCAGAACAAATAAAAATAATATCCAAAATATTTAATAAAATATACAAGGCAGGAAAAATACCAGTAGAGTGGCTCAAATCAGAGTTCGTACCACTGCTCAAAAAACCATGAGCGAAAGTTTGTGAAGATTATAGGACCATAAGACTAATGCGCCATCTGCTAAAGCTATTTTTAAAAGTCATCTACAAAAAAATTTACCGCCAATGCGAAGAACAAATTGCGCCCAGTCGGTTTGGATTTGAGAAAGCCGTTGGTACGAGGGAAGCTTTATTTAGCGTGCAGGCATTGTTTCAGAAATGTAGAGATGTCATTGTAATGTTTTTGCATGCCTGATTGACTACAAGAAGACATTTCGATAGAGTCAGACATGAACAAATGATGGAAGTGCTGAGAGGACAGGGATTGACGGAAAATACTTAAAAATAATAGTTAACCTGTATTGGAATCAATCAGCGGTGCTCCGAATAGATGGAGAATATACAGATCAAATTAAAATCCTAAGGGGAGTGAGACAGGGGTGTACCACTGATATTCAATCTGTATTCGAAGCACATTTTTGAAGAAGCTCTAAAAGATATTGATAAACGCATCTCAATAAATAGAGTCAAGCTCAATAACCTGCGGTATGCAGATGATAGAATAGTGTTTTCCAATACCATAGAAAAAACTTAATGAACAAAAATAACGGAAACAAGTAAAAAATATGGACTGGATATAAACACCAGCAAAACCAAGCTAATGAGCATCGGTAAGGAAAACATAACTGAAGCAAATCTGTATGTGAACCAAATGAGAATTGAACGTGTCTTACAATAAAACTACTTGGGAACTATAATCAATGAGTCGGGACAATACCCAAGAGATTAAATGCGGCATCGGAAAGCTATGATTATACAGAAGGATTCTGAAGATTCCATGAGCAGACAAAGTCACCAATGAAGAGGTACTGTGGAGGATGCATACAACTGCGGATTTTGTCAACATCGTGAAGGGCCGAGCTGCAGTATTTGGGACATATAATGAGAAATCAAGGCAGATCTGAGCTAGTTCTATGCATTTTGCAAGGTAAAAGGGCCCCAGAAGGAAGAAGAATATCCTGGCTTGCTAATCTGAGCGCATCGTATCGAAAGGCCTCAACACAGCTATTTTGTAGAGCAATCAACAAAGTCATCATAGCCAAATGATCGCCAATGTTCGGAACGAACAGGCACACTAAGAAAAAGAAGAAGAAGAAAAACAATTAGTGAATTTTATGCAATAATACAATATATGGGCTGGATACGTTTAACAATTAGTCTGAAAATATAAACAGGAAACTGACAAAAATCAGATGATTCGAGAAATTATTTATAAACGTATATTTCGTAATTTTATTCCAAAAATTGATATTTAATTTTTTCATAATTTGCAAGGTACTTTCCACAATATTCTTTTTTCTTATTTGAGTATATTGCACACTTCTACTGATAAAATCATGTAAACACTTAAAAATAAGTTATTGGAAAAATAAATTAGTAGTAAGTACTAAGAAAATATATCTATTAGTTCAAAGTGTAGAATTTTTTAATGTATAAAAGAAACCTAAAATCTGATAGGAATTATTAATAATATTGTTTTAGCATAAGCAACAAGCAAAATCAAATCATTCAAAATGATGCTTAAAATTGTCATCGTTTCCTGCTGCATTGCACTTGCACTTTGTCAACCTGGTAAGTTTTGTTACGTACCTAGATTTTACTTCATTTTAGTTTAAAAAACATACTGAGTATAAAGTTTTAAATACCACAACAATAATAATTATTTTTTGTCTTTTGAATATTCAGATTTAATAGTAGGCCAAGGCTATAAACCAAAAAAGTAACCTGTTTGTAACACTGAACTGGCCAAGCAAACGAGAGTTGTTTTAAATAGTATGGTCCCCTGTATTAAACCCTATATGTTTTCTGGAGTCAATGTTTTCGAATTAATTAGGTATTAACAAATTAAGGTCGAAAAACGGTAAATTTTCACTTTTTTCGTAAAAAAAAGTAAGACATTTAAAACGAAAAGAACTAAACTTCAAACTAAAAAGTCATATAAGATACTTTAAAATGGCGTTTTTTTTTTTAAATATGCTCATTTGCTGCTTATAAAGTTGCAAAATAAGTCAGAAATTTCGGTTTTTTATAAATATTTATAAATTTTTAAAAACTACATTACAATTACATTACATTTTAAAAACGACACAAACCAAAATTCTGTATAATATAAAGGTTTTAAGTTAATTTTTAAAAAAGATAAAAAACCGAAATTTCTGACTTATTTTGCAACTTTCTAGCAACAAATAATCATATTTTATCATCATCATCATCTTTGGCTCGACAATCCTCTGTGGATCTTGGTCTGCTCTAAGATTCGTCGCCATTCTGTTCGGTTTTTGGCAACATGTTGCCATCTTCTGATTTTTAATATTCGTAAGTCGGTTTCTACTCAATCTAACCACCTAATTCGCGGTCGGCCTTTACTTTTTTTTCCTACAGGTGCTCCTGTGGTTAGCTTTTTAGCAATGGTATTTTCTGACATTCGTATTATGTGTCCAGCCCATCTAAGTCGCTGTGTTTTAATGAACGTTATGACATCTGGCTCATCAAAGAGCTGATACAATTCAAAATTATATCTTCTGCGCCACTGCCCTTGGTCGTTTAGAGCTCCAAATATTTTGCGGAGTATTTTACGCTCAAATATTCCCAAAAGTCTTTCATCTTTCTGCGTTAGAGTCCATGTTTCTGCTCCATATGTGAGGACCGGCCTCAGCAATGTTTTGTATATAATAATTTTAGTTCTTCTCTGAATGTTTCTTGAGTGGAAATGCTTTTGGAGTCCATAGTATGCCCTATTTGTAAGATTTATCCGTCTTTTGATTTCTTCGCTTGTTTTATTGGTAGCTTGGTTTTGTCTTCGTTGATGACTAGACCGACCTGTTTCGCCGCTGTTTCCAATTCTAGGAGATATTGCTCAACATCTCGCTTGCTACGCCTTACTATGTCAATGTCATCAGCATATGCTAAGACTTGTATCGATCTATTGTAAATAGTACCGCCATCCCTAATTCGTGTATCTTGGACTGCCTTTTCTAAGGCAATATTAAATAGTAGGCAAGCCAGAGCATCTCCTTGTCTGAGTCCATCATTTTTCTCAAAGGATCTAGAACTCTCTCCCTGTATTCTAACAGTGGCTTCTAAGTTAGACATTGTCATTCTCGTTAGTCGGATGAGTTTCTCTGGTATACCAAACTCATGCATTGATTGGTATAGCACTGTTCTCTTGACACTGTCGTATGCGGCCTTGAAGTCGACGAATAGGTGATGGGTTTCAATATTGAATTCTTATATTTTCTTGAGAATCTGTCTTATTGAATGAATCTGAAATATTGAAATCATATTTTATGCGTCTTTTTAATGCGTTATTTAAAAAAAACCATTTTAAATGTTGTTATAGGACTTTAAAAGTTTATTATTCTTAAATATGTTTTAAATGCTTCACTTTTTGTTGATAGACCAAAAAAGTGGAAATGTATGTTCTTCGACCTTAATTTGATAATAACTAATTAAGTCCGATCTGTCGACTGCAGAAAAACAGGTTTTTGGTACACAGATCCTACTACTCAAAACAACTGTCATTTGGCTGGATGGTTCAGTGTCGCGAAAAAAAACTTATTTCCCTGCTCTATATAGCTTCTAATTGAATATCTTTTCACACTATTTTTAAAACTGTTATGTATAACTTTTGGTTTTTATTCTTACTTTTAAAGTAAAATTTGTTTTTATTATAAATGTAAGCTCATTGGATATAAGGATAGTGAGTAATGACTTAATACAAGTAAATTTTAATATTATATTAATATATATTTTGCATTAAATGTTGATGGGTTAGCGTAATATCTTTATTACTTACATAGTGTAATGTAACAACATTTACTGCTTTATTTCTTAACACTTAGATAAAACCGCATAACAAATTAAATTATATGATTTTAGTTGGAAAGTGTCCCAGGGTAGATGGTAGATATCCAGTGTACCTTTCAGATTCAAGATCCTGCACAAAATTCTATGAATGTTCTAACGGTAGACCATATCAACTGAAATGTGCATATGGAACATATTTCGACAGTCATAGCAGAATATGTAAACATAAACAAGACGTCACTTGTGGCAGTAGAAGAAGAGATTAGGGCGCAATTTGAAAAAAAATTCTTTAATTTTCATAATAGCTGTAATAATACAAAATTGTTTTAATTATACACAAGGTTAGCTGTATACCATAAATCATAAAAGTTTAATTTAAAAATCCTTTAACAAAGGTGTATAAATAAAACGCTTTGTTGTGATGTAGCCCGAAAGAGTTTATTCATTATATACTTTTTATAAAGGATTCTTAAATAAAACTTTTGTTTCAGCAATGTTAAAAATTAAAACCTAAATGAAAAATACTATCAATCTACAATCTTTTATTTAGAATAGAGAGCAAGGTCGTAAATAAGAATTCTTTTATTTTTTGGGAGACTGTGAGAACTAACTACGAAAAAGAAATCAAGAAATACTGGCAGAATACTGATTAAATGTCGTGTGCAAATATTATACAAGAAGATTTCTAATTTAAAATTAGGACGCCGTTTAAAAAAATCCTCCTGCTGCTCAGAAAGATAGAAAGGCTTAGGGTGCTTCTTTTCTAAAAAAATTTAAGGGTGAATATATTTTTAAAAGAAATAATTTTCTAAACTCCTAATTTAAAGAGAAAAAATTACATGTTTATTTTCATTACACAGAAACAGTTATTACAAAAAAATATCTAAATTTATCAACAAACATTACACTGCACCTTCTAACAAAAGAGACTTTAAAACTACGGTTATATACCAAATGGCAGAAAAAGATGTACCGACTGTCATAATGTCGAAATAAACTACCAAAATTTTCTGAATTATTAAACAATTATCAAACGGTAATTTTATTGAAAAGAAAACTAAAATATGACAAGTAGCTGATACATAAAACTTATATTTAATTATAAACTTTTTAAATTGTTAAGAGAGCAAATCTTGGTGTATTAGCGATAAATGTTTGTTTAGAAAAATGTAACAAAACTACTTGCTTCACTGGCTACTTGTTTCTTTTTCAATTTTTAAAAAGTTGATTACCTTAGATTTGAACAAAAAAATATTGTCCCACAAACTTTAAACAATCTAGATCCAATCCACGGAAGACACAAAATGGAAGCTGCACAAATCCTGGGAGAAATCAAATCAAATACCGAATCTGGACACAGTTTATTCTGGGGATGATAACAATATGTCATTCTTGAAACTCAGCAGCTTATTTTCCACTTAAAACTATTTCGGCTTACTCAGCCCTCAGACGCTGTTATCAAATCCCTTGTCACAGCATACAGCTTACAACAAACGGTGATTATCTCACATCATTACAAAGATTGCCATACTGAGTTTTAAGCTTAAATCACCTTCTTCTCACTACACAAACATGGCATTAAGGGAAACTTTGCCGGTTTTTCAAAACTCTCTCGAAAACGAACCTTATCCGCCCAGACTCTGCATTGCTATTTTTTCTACCAAAATCGAATTCCCGATGACCAAATTAAGATTTCCACAATAAATACGACCGCTCCTGCAAGCGGTCCACCATGAAGTGAACTCATGCTTAAAAATGGGTATATGCATAAACGGAAATATTCTTGTTTAGTTTCTGCGTAAGTATCTAGGCGCAACTCAGATCAAACGAAAGAGCAATTTGTTCATTATACACAGACTCCAAAATGTTTATATTATTAATCTTAGAGACGCAGAAAGATTAAGAACCTTTGTTCTATGATATACGGGGTGAAACAAAAATACTGTACATTTGACAACCTTCTTTTAAAAATTAAGTACTAAATAAAAAAATTATTGCTTAGTAACATTTTCTATAACAAAAAAATTTTGTTAAAATCCTTTATAAAAGGTATATAAAATTGCCTCAAACGGGCTATCACAAACACATTGCAAAACGTTTTCGGATTAAACAATCCATCATCAGTGCAAACGGTTGTACATGCTAGTAGCCACCAAAATATATGGGTAAAAACCCCTTAAAAGTTATAAATTTAACATTATTACATTAGTTGTTATCAACAGGTCCTCGTAGGCACTTCGTCTCAGGACCATTTTACTCATGTAGAGTCATACGCCGCCATGTTACCTATCCAACGGTAACTTAACCATCACAAACTATAAAAACTAATAATGTAAAATAATGTTAAATTTATAACTTTTAAGGGGTTTTTACCCATATATTTTGGTGGCTACTAGCATGGTGTTTGTGATAGCCCGTTTGAGGCAATTTTATATACCTTTTATAAAGGATTTTAACAAAATTTTTTTGTGATATATGGTATACAGCCAGCTACAGGAACTTAGTTTCCTCGTGGAATTTTCTATAACCTTCCCTATTCTTTAGCGTAACAAATCGTACATTTGTTAAAACCTGTTAGCTAGTCTAGAATACACATTCCATAAAAGTAATTTATGCCTTCATCCAGACCGTTGTGCGTTATATACAAATGTCCATTCTACAGGTCGTCATTGGACTATGATAATACCTATTCATTGTCATAAAAACAACAAATTCAAAAGTAAATTTCTTTAAGTGTGTGCTAAATTTAGTGGCGCATTTATCATCTCTAAATTATTCTGAAACTAGCATATGTTTATAGTTTTTCCAAATTCACAAGACACGCAAGATTTTATTTAAATCTTTTTTTTTTTTGACAACTACAAATATAGTAATTTCTTATGTTCACTCACTGATATATATATATATATTATATATATATATATATATATATATATATATATATATATATATTCAGGGATTCTACAGTGTTCACTGCCTTCCCTCTCTAAACCATTTCCATCTCTCTCTGTTGTTCCATTCTCCATCGTTTAGACCTCTCTTACTCATGGCGTCTACTTCGTTCCTCCAGGATCTTCGGGGTCGTCCTCTTTTCCTCCTGTCTATGGGGCTCTATTCGGTTATTCTCTTTAGTCATGTGTTGTCGCTAGTTCTTTTTACATGTGCATACCACTTTGATCTTTTTCGTTCTATATATGTTTGTACGAATAAGGAGTTCGCCCTAGCGAACTTTGCTGGTTCGATGGAAAATTTTTTCTTACCGGACAAAGTTTCTGAGGTAATCCTTAGCTCCTTAGCTTGACAAGGGATAGGGTTAAACATTAACTTGGTAAAGCAGATAACAGCTCCAGCAAAAATATTCATAAAGGAGGTTGGTCTCGATATTGACAAAAATGGATGGTATGTGACATAAATTGCTACTGGGACTCTATAAATATTAAAAAAAAATGATCTCTTAATATTGGAATTAATTAAAAAGAGGGAATGATCAACTAACCACATATGTGAGTAAACAAAATTTTAAACAACGTAAATATCAACGTCTGAATGCATATTGATATACAAATAGTAACTGGCAACTAAAAATGAAATTGGATTTTCACTTTTTATAAGTTAGCCTAGAGCAAATTAATTTTCGGGGAGGGGTAGTGTAGTTTTGTTCAAAATATCTTTTCTCTTGACATTGACATTGACAAATCTAATCCCAAACGTAATTTATTACGAAAGGGAATTTTTAAGTACATACACTTATACGTACTCGAAGTGATAAAATTAATAACATATAGACAGAATTAACTGAAAACACATCCTTGTAAAAAGTTTTTAATTAAACAGAAATTAGCATGCCACAAAACAAATAAAATTGTTAAATTTGGGACGATACCAATCCAGATATGCCTCAGTTTGGTATAAATTGAGGAGGCGGCGCCCTCGGTCGATATTACTTTGATAACGATATTGCACGCCAGTCCATCACCGTCAACGCCAATGGGGAGCTCTATAGGTCAATGATTAGATTACGAACTACTTTTACCTGAATTAGATTAGTTAAACACCAACGGCAAGCGTTTTTAAAAAAAACCGCGCTAGGTGCCACAGCTCATGCCACATTGGACATTATGCACAAGCGATTTGGGAGCATGGTCATCTCGCGAAGATGAACTGTTTCCAACATCTTGAAATTTGACACCATTTGACTATTTCTCGAAGGGTTTTCTTAAGTTACATGTTTATGCGAATAAGCCACAAACCACAGTAGCCCTCAAAGCCAACATAACCCGTGCAATCAATCAAATCAAATTGATTTATGTGCCAGAGTCATGAATTGTACATTTCGAATGCGTGCCATTCAGCAAATCTGTGGCGGATAATTGAACAATGTTATATTCCATATATAATGTCATCGAGAAACCTTTTAACGAATAAAAAAACGGGTGTGGCAGTCCCGTGGGACTGCTGGTAGAAGTTAAACTTTTATACACACGTTCGCCGTCACAAATTTATATCGTAGTCAATATGTACAATCATTACATATATGTAATGCTTTAGGTGAGACAGAGCAGAAAGAGAAACTTAATTAGGCATATAGGTATATGGTGCATCGTTTTATGTATATAAACATTTGACCTGTAATAGGAGTATAGTAAATAAAGGATTGAATCAATATTTTAATGAAAATGTATATTTTTATCTTCATATAGGTATGAAAGGAGTTGAATAAAAAAAAAATTACACATACTCTGAAGTAAAATTCATTGTTTATTTTGTTATTAATATAACAATACAATACAATACACTGCAACATAATTCAATATAATAATACAATACAAATTAAAATGCAACATTCATAAGTATTTAGAAATGACAATATGCATAACTTAATTACGCATATGTTTAATTTACCATAATAATAATATTAAAAAAAAATAATAATATTAATAAATATTAAATATATTTTCAAAAGGAACATTTTTATCCTCAAGAGAGATAAAGAGAGAAAATATATATTCTGCCTCTCTCTTACCTATATCTTACATATGTAATGATTTTGCCGATTCACTCCAGTACAAATTTCCAACGTCGAACGCGCGTATAAAAGTATTCAGAAGAACTTCAAAAAATGTTTGTGGAAGATAAAAATAAAAAACCAACAACCCGGATTATGTTGTAAATTTTCATTTTATTTTAACATTTAGCATTTTTGCATATATTACATATATTTAATAAGATTAACGTGGGGTTTTTAAATATTTCAAAAACAAAAAAGAAATTCATATTGGGATTTGAACTCACATATACCAGCGTATGAACAACACACGATTAAAATGTGCCAATCAGACATGACACTAATGTATTTCAAAATTGACAGTTCTGGATCATAAAGTGATTTATTGTAATTATTATTTTCAAATACAAAAGTCTAAAATAATTATAATCATTTAATAAATAATGTAAAACATCACATAAATAGTAATATTAATATATATATATATATATATATATATATATATATATATATATATATATATATTATATGTATATATAGTATATATATAATATATAAATATATATATATATATATATATATATATATATATATATATATATATATATATATTATATGTATATCGTCGTCGACTCAAGAAAACCGGTTAACTCCAATTTTTACTTAAAATGAGATTTCACTGCCAACTTTTAGCAAATCGCCTATTCTAGCCATCCGACAAATAATACGTCATTTAAATGTAGATTTCTAATTTTAAAATGTTTACTAGAAAAGCAAGTATCTCCCTTGTCAAAAAATTATGTTTGTAAAACACGTAACTCCGCGCATTTTCTGTTAAGTCTGTTAAGTGATTATGGCCGTTGATTTGATTTGTTGTTTTGGAGGGATTTGTTGTTTTGGAACATGCTTTTAATAAGTTCTAGATATAGACATGGACAGAAAAGAGAATGTATATCAAAACGTTGGTAGTATTTGAAGCACCAAAACGGAAGAGGGATAGAAAAAATGAAGACGTATCACGGAGGTCTAAGACATTAAAATATTATTTGAAAATTGGAGAAGATAAACGAATGGTATGCAAAAAAATGTTTTTGTCAACTCTGGGCCTTAAAGATTGGTTTGTTATGAATTGTAAACAAGAAAATGATTCTGCTATTACAGAAAATTTGGATAATGAACCACAACAAGCGCCTAAAGGACTTCACAAGAAGGAGTTGGACAATCGTTATAGTTTTTTAGATAGCCTGTCGAAAATGGAATCGCATTATTGCAGGAAATCAACTAGTAAATTATATCTAGAACTATTATAGCAAAGCAAATGTCAACTTTACCATATTTACAAAACTCTTTATCTTCTTTTAAAAACGCTTTCCTGGAAAAGAGGTTGGCTTTGTATAGACCAAAACAAAATTTTTGTGTGAAATATGTGTCTTTTTTAAAACAGGAAATCTTGATCAAGAAATATTTAGTGAACATTAGTTGAAAAAACAAGAAGAGAGACTTGAGAAAATTAAAGATAAAAACAGTGAAAGCATTGTATTGACAATAGATTTACAGGCAGTCCTTATATGTCCTTAGTCCAATGTTTCTTCCCTAAGTTGACATATAAATGATAAAAAAGTTAACAATCCACAATTTCACATTCTATAACTTAAACACAAAACAAGGGCATTGCTTTCTTTGGGATAAGTTGGAGGGGAATCTTACCAGTGCCGAAATTGCTAGTGTGATCGTATGTATTTTAGAAAAATATACTGAAGGGAGTTGTCTTGAGGAAAACGTACGTGAAATAATTATAGCGATGGGTGTACTTACCAAAATCGTAATGTTACTCTAGCTAATGCAATTTTAAACTTTTGTTTATAGCAGAAGGTAACAGTTATACAAAAATACCTCGAGAAAGGGCACACCCAGATGGAAGCCGACATGATGCACAGTACAATTGAGAGACAATTAAAAGGATGCGATATTAAAGTGCCTGGTGATTACATACAAATATGAAAAAGAGCGCGGAAGGAAAATCTATTTGTAGTAACTCGACTATACCATGATTTTCTTAAAGACTTGAGAGCAGTAAACTATATAAGCAGTATCCGACGTTCACCACAAGGTATTCATTACAAGTTGGGATTTGGTAAAAATTGAATTGAACTGCGTTGTCGAATATCAGAATGTGATACTCAAGAATTTCGCAGATCTGCCGAAGCTTTATACAAATAGAATACCATTAAAAAAAAGACAGATTCGAACATTTTCAGTATTTAAAAAATACACTTGAATTCGATTACCACTCATTTTATGTCAATCTCCCTCAATAACTTTGTTTTTTTTAAGTCCTATCGTTGTTGTACTACACTTGTTTTTGTACATATTTATGCGATTTTATTTTAGATTAAAATTTTATTTATTGTTAAAAAGTGAGGCTATTTATTTCTAACGTAGGTAATAAAATAACACTAAATTTTATGTTAAACGTTTTTCAAAAGTATTGGTCTGTATTTCATTATTAGGATATTTTTATGTGTTTCAGATATGTTTTTATAAATCGATAACTAATGCTTTTTATTAATTTTTTCCAATCCAGCGTTAACCCCCTCTGTGGCTCAGTGGTAAGAGCGCCTGCCTTTAAACCTAAAGGTCGTGAGTTCGAATCCCACCAGGGTGGAAATTTTCGTTTATTAAAAAAATTAATAAATGAAAATAATTTCTATCCTTGTGTGATCGGTACACACCGGAGGGACCGCAGACGTTCGGATACAATTAGCGTCTCTTAGCAAAGACAATGACGTCGACTTTGCTAAGTATCAAGACAATTACTCACACACACACACACACACACACACACACACACACACACACACACACACACACACACACACACACACACACACACACACACACACACACACACACACACACACACACTACACCTCAAATTGTAAGATTGGCGAATGGATTTAGTGTCCGCAGTCATTTAAACACAAACAACAACAACAACAACAATCCAGCGTTACAAAAAATGCCATGTAACTCCATAGCCACGTCTCATTCCAAAAGAAGAAAAACCGGTAACTCCATATTTTCTGTATTTTTAGCTAAATCTACTAGATTTTGAAATTAAAATTAATATAATTCATCTTAATACGACCTAAAAAATCAAAATATAGTTGGTTAATCGTCCTTCTTTATCAAATAAAAGATATCAGTGAAAATGTTACTGTTTTTAGGCTCTCCTGAAAAATTAAGAAAATGGAGTTACGAGTTTTTCTTGTGTTGACGACGATATATAGTATATATATATATATATATATATATATATATATATATATATAATATAGGTATATATATAAAATATTTTGTAATTTAATTCCAAGAACTTTTTTCGAATTTTTGTCATAAAATGATAAAATTTGGAATGCTATTTACACAATAGTATTTCCTCTTGGTTGATTTGCTTCTACACTTTAACTGATAAAATCTTGTAAACACTTGAAATTATGTTTTTTTTCTGTTTAAAAAAATAAAATAAAAGATTATGAAGATTAAAATACTACGAAAAATCTATCTAATGACTATAGGTAGAAATTTTTCATGTATAAAAGAAACCTTAAATCTGATAGGAATTATTATTAATATTGTTTAAGCGGTAGTAACCAGCAAAAAATAATCATTCAAAATGATGCTTAAAATTGTCATCGTTTCCTGCTGCATTGCAATTGCACTTAGTCAAGCTGGTAAGTTTTTTATACGTTTTATTTTAATGTAGTTTGCCAAAGACTTACTAAGTAAGCATAAAGTATAAAAAACACGAGATTAAAAATTGTTTCTTTTCTTTTGACTAACTTAGATTGAATAGAGCTTGTAATTGAATATATTTTCACACTATTTTCTTTTAAACGTTATTACTTCTTCGACTATTTGGTGACTTATCTCCTGCTATTCATACTATCCTATCTTCTGTCATTCTACTAATGTGTTCGTTCCACCTCTGTTTCCGTTTTGTCACCCATCCATTTATGTCTTCTATATTGCATGCTCTTCTTATGTTTTTGCTTCTCTCCCCATCCAACAGACTTTTCCCTGATATTCGTCGAAGTATTTTCATCTCTGTTGTTTCTAGTAGTCGTGTCGTTTTAGATGTGTCAGACCTTTTCTTTGTCGTGTATGTTAATATAGGTATTTTGCTGCTTTATAGATTCTTGTTTTTGTATCTTGTCTTTTTGGGTGTTTGTTCTTCCAGATTATGTCATTAAGAGATCCACTGCTTTACTTGCTTTTAAGCGTTGTTGTCGTACTTCTTCTTTAACATCTTCGTATCGAGTTATATCTATTCCCAGATATCTAAATTTTGCGTCCTGCTTTATTATTTTCTTATGAACTTCGATTTTACATCGTCGTGGCTATATTAAGGGGAAATATGGGGATATTATCATATTGTATTTCTTGGCTATCGTAATGAAGATGTTAATATTTGGAGCTCGTCTTCTGTGTCGGCGATTAATGCGGCGTCGTCTACATAACATAATATTTGGATTTCTTTGTGGTCCCCATTCTATGATCATGACCTTTACGTACTGCTTGTATTATTTCGTCCATTATTATATTAAAGAGAAGTGGGCTTAACGAGTCAACCTGTCTGACTCCGTTTTGTACTGGTATACACTGTGTTAGTTTTTCATTTATCTTTACCTGTATTCGATTATAGAAGCAGATCTTTTCGATGGTTTGTATAATATTGATTGGGATGTTTCTTTTATACAGTAGCAGTAAGACGTTTTCGACTTAGATGCGATCGAAAGCATCGATCGAAAGCAGTTTTATAAAGGATAGATATGCTGGTTTATTGTACTCGATGGTTTTTTCTCAGATTTGTGTTAGTACAAATACGGCGTCTACGCAGGATATGAATCCTTGTTGTTCATCTGATAAAGATGTTAGTTTATTGATTTGGTTGGTTAGAACTTTGGTGGCAAGTTTAAGTGAGGTGTTTAGTAGATTTATACCTCTATAATTGTTGTGGTCTTCGTTATCTCCTTTCTTAAACATTTGTATCATTATGCTGTTTCTCCATACGTCTGGTATCTTGCAGTTCAATATTATTTGTATAAGTTTTTTCATCTCTAGAATTATACTTTTTCCTTCGTGTTTTAGAAGCTCGTTGGATATTCCGTCTGGTCCTGGTGACTTTCTATTTTTAAGTGAATTTATGGCTATGTCTACTTCCTGAAACCTGATTTCTACTTCGTGTCTTAATTCAGTACGTTATTTTGTTGATTATTATTTTCCTTTTCTTTAAACAGTTCCGACAGATATCTTTCCCATACGTTTGCTGGTATGTTATTGTATTTCTTCAATTCTGCCATTTCTTTCCGTTGGTTTCTTATGAATCTCCATATTTGTTTTTGTGCAAAGTAGAAGTCGCTTTCCATCCTTTGTGTAAACTGTTCCCAGTGTTCATTTTTTGTTCTTCTTACCATCTGCTTTATTTGATTTTGTATTCTCCTATAGGTGTCTCAGCATTTTGGACTATTTTATGATTTGTATTTTGTGTAGACCTCTCGTTTCTATTTGTATTTCTCCTTTATTTCTTTTCTGAACCATGGTGTATTGTTGTTGTTTCTTTTATTTGGTATGACTTTGCGTTTTCCTAGAGCTTCTGTTGCTGCTTCTTCAATATTGTTTTTTATTTTCTCCCACCTAGCGTTTATATATAGTTAAATTCATAAGGCACATAAATGTAGGTTTATTATATTGCAGTGATTTCCTCTTTTTATTTTGTTATTTGTCTGTTTATGTACATCTAAAGGGTATATGTCAAGACCACCATCACGACATTATTTTTAGATGATAATAACTTTAGATTTTACAAGGCGCAGTGAACGTACAGAGCACGCGAAATAAAAATATTGAAGATTTATTTAGCTTTGCAAGAGAACAACCAGAAATTAACCACCTTCATAAGAAAGTAGTAATCAGCAGAAGTAAAAAGGGTAATTGACAATATAAAGAAAAAAATTTTAAGATCAAACGAAATATACGATACTACTACTATCGGTTTACAGCGTTCTCCGACACCTTCCGACTCCTAACCGCCATTCTTCTCTATTCGACCATAGGCCTGGAGGGATTTCTCTTTCCTCTAGTTCTTTTTCAATTCCCTCTCTCCAGCTTCTTCTCGGTCTTCCTCTTTTCCTTCTCCCTTGTGGTGTCCACGTCAAAATTTGTTTTGGAATCCTGTCATCTGGCATTCTCTGTACATGGCCGTACCATATTAACTGTTTTGTTTTTATGTCATCAACTACTGTATGCTTGACTCTCATCATTTATCCTATTCTCTTATTTGGTATCCGATCTCTTCTTGATTTGCCTGCTGCTCTTCTCCAGAAGTCCATTTCTGTTGCTAGTAACAGTTTCTCTGATCTTTTGTTTCATTGGCCAAACTTCACTGCCATATGTGATTACACTTTTAAATATGGTGTTGTATATTAGTTGTTTGTTCGCTTTAGATATTGTTTGGTCCCACAGAATGCCGTTCATTATGGATATGGCTTTTTTACCCTGTATGTTTCTGTCTTTTATAACAGCATCGAGTGTTCTATCTTGAGTTATCTTCATACCCAAGTACTTGTATTCATCACAGTTTCTAATTTCTACCCCATCGTCTAATATAATGGACTGTTTTGTCCCTCCAATACACATGGCTTTAGTTTTCTTAAAGTTGACTTCGAAATTCCATTTGTTATATTCTTCTATTAGCTTCCGAGTCATGTAACTCAAGTCGTCATGATCCTGGGCAATCAGTATTTGGTCATCAGCGAAACATAATATGTACAGTGTAGTCTCGTCATTGAGAGAGATTCCCATGCCATTGCATTTTCTTTTCCATAGCTTGATTGCTTGTTCCAGATAAATTTTGAAAAGGGTAGGCGAAATACAGCAACCCTGCTTTAGTCCTTTCGTGACCTTAAATCCTTCAGATATCCGTGATCCAGTTTTAATTTTTGCAGTCGTTCCATTATACAGACTTTGGACTGCTTTGATAAGACCATGTTTAATGTTGGTTTGCTGTAGAGTTGAATATAGTTTACTTAGGGGTACACTGTCATATGCTTTTTGTAAGTCTACGTACACCAGGTGAACTTCTTTATTAAAGGCTGTTTTTTTCCAGTAACTTGCGCAGTAGAGTACAGGTGGTCTACTGTGGATCGCCCAGCTCTAAAACCAGCTTGCTCCTCTGCTTCGTAATCTCTATAGATAATATATGATATTATTATTATATATTACAACAAAATATACGATAAAAACTAAAAATAATAAGAATAATCTTAAAGCGTTATTATTACTAATTATCAAAATAAACACATACTACCTGGATTAACTATGAATTGGTTTTCAAAATTCATTCCTGTTTGTGTTAAACCTCCTAGATATTTTGTTATTATTTCTCAATTTATTTTCAAATGCAGTAAATAATGTAAATTTATGAGATAACATTAAACTATCATTTAACTGTTTTGTTTTTTAATAGTTAGATAAAATCACAAAAGTTAATTAAATAATTTTCTTTCAGTTGGAAAATGTCCCAGTGTAGATGGTAGATACCCAGTATACCTTCCAGATGCAAGATCCTGCTCAAAATTCTATGAATGTTCTAACGGTACACCATATCAACTGAGATGTGCTTATGGAACATATTTCGATAGCTATACCAGAATATGTAAACATAAACGAGACGTCAACTGTGGAAGTAGAAGGAGAGATTAGTGCTCAAATTTAAAAAATCTCAATTGTCTTTAATTTTTATAATCCCTGTGATACATATTAAAATTAAAAATTAAAATTAAATTCTTTATTTTCTTTTTGACAAACATAGTTTGTATAGAATTAGTCATAAATATACATTGCTACAAACTAAACACCAATGGCCAATTGACAAGATTAAAATTAATATTAAAATTCAGTAAAACATTTAGTAGATTAACATGGTCGTTAGTCATATGTCTGGTATCTACATTAAAATCACCACATATTACAAAACGTATATTTGGTTTATATAAACAATTTAAAATACCTTCGAGGTTATTCAAAAAAATACTTAAATCACCAGATGGTGATCTGTAACAATTTAATATAATATATGAATTATTTTGAAATACGTCTTTGAAAGAAGTAATACAATATTCAGAATGTTTATCAACACAATATTGCTTTATCCTAGAGTTGAGTTTGTTATTAAAATTAAGACCTTTTCGAACCCAAATTCCTACGCCTCCTCCTCTTATTGAGTTATCTCGCAAATAACAACTTGCTAGGATAAAACCTTCAATGTTGACGTTCCCAATAGAATTATTTGATTCCCATAATTCCGTTAAACAGATAATCTTTATGCTCTTATGAGAAGTAAGTTCTAAAATAACATCACAAATTTTATCACTATTTATGCTTTGAATATTTAACAGCATTAAATTTGGATTAAAACTTACCCCTGATTTTGAGGTTGCCCCCGCAGGTATAAAAAACTATTTACACAAGCGTTCTTAGGCCATACTGCAGGATCCATTGCTTTCTTGAAGTGTTCTTGGTGTATCTGTACTTTGAAGGATGCATATAATTCAGGATGACGGGAATTCATCCCCTCACAAATGACCTCTGGAAAATGAGGCTTTAGATGCTGTACAATAGAAGCCGCTGTTGCAGTTGGTTCTATCCTGTATACGTGGAGATCCACAAATTTTGGAGTACCTTTTATCGTGGTATTTGTACTTGTACCTACAATAGCTTGTCCCTGTCTTCTGCTTCTATGACGAACTTCTTCCCATCTGCCGTTGTCTGAAGAGCTGCCTTCTCCTAGGGAAACTATTGACGTCATAATTTTTTCTTGTTTCAAGATCATTTTTCTTATTGGATGGTTGAGGCATCGATGTAGAGACGGTAGTTGACTTACATTTAGCTTCTTTTTTTTTTCTGTAACGTTTCATGATTGTTTTCAATTTCACAATTGTCTTCTTTCTCCGTAGATTTGCAGACATTAGTATTATGAGATTTAACTGTTTTGTCTGAAGATTTGGCAACGTTCGAACTAGAAGGTGCATTTGAAGGAATATTTGTCGATTTTAACAAATATATTATTTCATCCTGACGTTGGTTACCTTTAGTAAGTTCACTGTTTAAAGCTTTCAAGTATTGACTTTCAATATTAGCACATTTTAGATCACAAGTTAGCCTATTGATTTCTAACCTCAACTCGAGATTATAACTGTTTTACACTAATCACACCATTTTCAGCGGACTTATCAGTCTCCCTGTATTCCACCAGTTGTTTAATAGTTTCACTCACTTTTAACGAGTCTGGCACCTTTTTAGATATTAAAATTTCTATTAAATCGGACTTTTTTAGACGATCTAGTTCCTTATAAACACTCTCGTCAAACGCCATGTTGCCAACCTCATATTATATTGTTATAGTTATAAAAATAATAAAAAAGTGATTTTTTATTACATTGGTACATTTTTATTTCCAATGTAAAGTTTAGAAGTACCTAACAATAGTAGGTAGTACCTAACAAGAAGTACTAATATCAGTGAGGCTTATATGGGGGCCGTTAAATAGGGTACGTCAAAATTAGCTTTCTCGTTACACTGCTCCCCTTTTAGATCTGTGTGCTCCCATCAGCAACTTTATATGTCGGCCTAGGGTGGCGGAACCTAGAGGACTTTCAACCTCTGCATAAACCCCACAAGAAGAAATAACAATTTACTGGCTTTAAAGGGCACGACCTCTTCAGCTTAATACAACACACTCAAGATGGCGAAGGGAAGGAAAAAAGCTATTAAAGAGTATAAAAACATGAACAGTATACAAGGAGCACAATGGAAAAAATATATAGAACAGCTTTAAGGACGAAGATAGAGAGATCGATGAAGAAGATAAAAAGACAGAAGATGAGCTGATAATAATACCGGAAGAAGAGGTGTTAAAGAATATAGGAAGATTAAAAAACCAATAAGTATCAGATCCGGATACGATTATGAATGAACTACTGAAATATGTAGAAAGGGCATTAACCGAAGATATTACAAAACTATTCTAAAAGATCCTTGAAATAAAATGCATATCAAAAGAAATGGAAATCAAGTATAATAATCCCTATACACAAAAAAGGAGACCAAAATGACCAATCTAACTATCGAACTATTACGTTGCTTAACAAGTTTAAAAGTATATGACTAAGATACTTGCTGAGAAAATAATTAAAAGGTATAAAATATGCGAAGAACAACAAGGGTTTCGATGTAACAGATCAACTGTCGATGTTCAACGATGATCAACATATTCATAATAAGACAAATGGGAAAAAAGCAGTAGAATTTAATACACCTGCATTCATGTGTTTTATCGACCTTACTAAAGCCTTCGATCATGTTAGACCACATTAGACTACAAATAAAATAAAATTTTTACACAGAGAAACTATAACAGCCACTATAACACAGATAATAAAGGATATTAACTCCGATCACAAAATAAGAATAAACTAGGAACCAAACTAATGTAGAAAGTCAAGTTTTAATCAGGTATAAGACAGGGTGATCGGTTAAGCTCGTTATTGATTCACTTGATAATGGACAAACTAATAGAAGAAGCAAAAAGTGAGGAACAGGGTACAATATGAGCAACAAAGCAATAAAGATTCTATGCTACATAGATGACGCAGTAGTAATATTAAATCATGAAGATGACCTACAACGAATGGTCCACGCTTTAGAAGCTAACGCAAAAAAATTTAAACTGAAAATATCAGCACTAAAAACGAAGTTCTTCGTTATTTCTAGGGAGTCAGTGAGATTCAAAATTGAAATAAACAAAGAAATGATAGAAAAATTATTAATATTTAACCATATGGGAACTTTAATATCGTATTACGGAAACATCTCCGAAGAAACCCGCATACAAGCTTATAAAGCAGCGTACTTGTCAGGATGCCTACGAGATGTGATATGGAGAAATAAGAACATAAGAATAACATTAACGAATAATGAAGGTCATGCACTATCCCTAGAAGACGAAGTAATGGAGGAATGGGAAAACCACATTAAAACATTATTTAAGGACGATCGAGGATCACTACCTAACTTGGTCAAAGTGCAAATACAGGACCATCAATCCTAAAAGCTGAAGTGGAAAAAGCCATACACCAAGCCAAAAACAACAAAGCCAGTGGACCAGATCAAATATACAGCGAATGGCTAAAATTACTCTTAAATGACAATATAAAAGAACTCACTGTACTTTTCAATCAAATATATGATACCAGTGAAATTCCATCGGACTGGTTAAAATCGATCTTTATTCCTCTACCTAAGAAACCATACGTTATTAACAACAAGTGCGAAGAAATAATTAGTCAAGAGCAGTTCGGATTCCGGAGATGCCTTGGAACTAGGGAAGCACTATTTTCTTTGCCAACAGTTCTTCAACGATATTGGGAGGTAAGAAAACCCGTATATATGTGCTTCATTGATTTTGAAAAGGCATTTGATCGCATTCAGCATACCAGACTAACTACCGCCTTGCAGAGCATCTAACTAGATGAGAAAGACATAAAACTTATTGTTAAACTTTACTGGAACCAAACAGCCATTACTAATACCAACAATAGAGAATCAAAACCAATAAGTATTGAACGAGGCGTAAGACAAGGCTGTATACTATCTCCCACCCTCTTTAACGAGTATTCTGAGAATCTATTTAGGAAAGCTTTAAAAGATCAAAAAGGAATTATCATAGGAGGAGAAATAATTAACAATATACGGTACGCCGACGATACTGTGATTCTAGCTGAAAACATCGACGATTTGCAGGAGCTAATCAATAGAGTTGATATAGAATGCACAAATTGCGGACTGTCGATAAATATCGATAAAACTAAATACATGGTGACCAGTAAAGTGGATATCGGCGCAACCCAACTGATATTAAACCAACAACCGCTGCAGAGAGTTCAGAGATTCAAATACCTTGGATGTTGGATTACCCAAAATCTAGATCCATCCTTCGAAATTCGATGTAGAATTGAACAGGCAAGAAACTCATTTCAAATATTCAAGCCTCTATTATCCAATAACTCATTAAATTTGGAAATCCGTGAAAAGTTTACAAGATGTTATGTGTGGTCTGTACTCTTGTATGGATGTAAAACTTGGACTTTAAACGCCGATATCATGAATAAAATCGAGGCGTTTGAGATGTGGTTATATCGAAGGATACTAAAAATTCCATGGACTAGCAGAACCAGAAACGAAGAAATTCTTCGAATAATAGGACATCAACGAACTCTATTAAATATTATTAAGAGGCGTAAACTAGAATATCTTGGACATATAATCAGAGGACCAAGATATGAGTTCCTTCGGCTAATTCTCAACGGTAAAATCGAAGGAAAGAAATGGATAGGACGGAAGAAACTCTCTTGGTTGAGGAATTTGCGGCAGTGGACAGGTTTCACAGCGGACCAATTGCTACACGTAGCGCAAGACCGAGATCAGTATAACAATATTATAAGCATGGTAGCCGCCGACGTTCCGTAGGGATATGGCACTCTAAGAAGAAAAAATCTTAAAATAGTAATATAAAGGAATCAAATTTAACAACTAAAGCATTTTTATTATAAAGAATTATAAGGATTAACTTATTAGATTATCCTTAAATCCACTTTAAAATTGCATAAAAACAATTGTTCGCTTATCAAAATTTCGTCGCATATAATCTAATTTATTAGTTTATGCCGGATGGTTGCAAAATATTATCTGTTTTGTAAAGAATCGTACTATAGATTTCTTAAAACACAAATGCTTAATGGGAAATTGTGTAAACACTTGACTGTTGTACATCTCCTTAAAATGCAACTGGATCATCTGAAAGTAAATACATTGATATTGACAGATAAGAGTTTTCTACGAATATTGGACTAATTTTTCATCGCAGTTAAAAATATAAATCTATAAAAGAAACATTCATCCTAAGCCTTTATTGCAGAAATTTTTTTACATAGCATTTTTTATTAAAAATGCTCCTGAAAACTCTTATTATTGTATGTGCTGCCACAAGTGCCTATAGTCAAGGTCAGTATTTTGTAATATCTTATTCATTTTCCTTCTTAATTTTTTATGCCTAAATATTGGTCAATTTCTAATTTTCTAATAATAATCTTAATAATAAACTTAGTATTATAAACAAACATGACACGAACGACATGGACAAAAAAACGGTGAATCCAATTGCATTAGCGAAACAGGTAATAAAACAATGTCTTTAATAAAACCAACGGAAATAAGTAAAGAAATCTAAACGTTAATTGACAACAGATTCAAACTTGTTAACCAACGAAATCAAAATACAATAGAATATGCAGAAATCAATAGACTAAACAGGAAAAGAATCGGAGACGAAATTACTAAAAAGAACGAAATGAAAAAAAAATTATGCCGCAAAACAACAGGTTGAGAATTATAAAAATAACAAATAATAAACGTACAGTTATTAGCTGAAAACGTAAAATGTAGAAATCACAACAGATAGTGAAAAAATAATGAAAAATATCGAAAGTTAAGAAATTAATAACTACCAATAAAACAGTAGCTAAAAATCGCAACATGTATTAAATATAGAAATTGACTAAATAAGAGCAGGCATACAGTATTTAAAAATATCAAATAAATTATCCCTAAATTTTTTAACTAAAACTAACATTAAATGAACAACGAGAGAAAGTAGAATTAAGCACCAATGTGCAAAACTATTATAAAGAATCCACAACAGCAACTTGACTTGACTATACCCGTAGTCTCTGAAATTTGAATCATCATTAATAATACAACAGATAAGAATCTATCTCCATTCGCTATCAATAGATAAGAATCCATTCGCTTGATGGCATCAGTCCATCTGGTTTGAGGTTTGCCTCTACTTCGCTTGTTTGCTCTTGGTCGCCATTCAATGGTTTGCTTAGTCCAACGGTTGTATTTCATTCTTTCTATGTGCTCTGCCCAGTCCCATTTTAACATAGCGATCTTCTGGATTACATCTGTAACTTTTGTTCGTCTTCTTATTTCTTCATTGGACTCGCGATAAGTGATCTTAATGTTGAGCATTCTCCGTTCCATAGCTATCTAAGTCACTTGGAGTTTGTGGACTATGTTTTTGTTAAAAGCCAATGTGTCAGTTGTCAGTATTTAAGTCAGTCTGTAAGTTAAGCTTGGTTAATTCGATTTGTTTGTCTTAAGGACATATATAAAACTTTAATGATGTGGAAGAAAACCTACAGATTTTAAGGGTTAGTAGATGGAAGGAAGTTGCCAGGAATCGATAGGAGTGGTGACTTATTTGTGAGCAGGTCAAGAACCACAACGGATTGTCAAGCCACTTATGATGATGGTAATATATGACTTAACCTTTTCTATATTATTATTGTCGAGAGTTATATCCTCAGTTATATAGGAGAAGGATTCGTTTGTTATATATTTAGTTTTTACCAGATTTATTTAGGTCCTATTTCTCTTGATTTTATATTTAGGTCTAATAGCATTTCCGGCAATTCTTCTTTGTCATTTGCTATTAACGTAACATCATTAGCAAATCTCAGGTGATTCAGATTTTCACCGTCTATCGTCATTCCTTGATTTCCTTATTCTTAAGTTTGAAACATATCTTCAAAAGCTAAGTAAAAACTTGGGTGAGATAGAATCTCCTTGTCTAACCCCTCTCTGTAGTTTCATTTTTTTTTGTTTTTTTCTTCGGTTTTTACTTGCGATGTTGTCAGTAAGTATATATGTGTATATATATACAGGGTGGTGTATCGTCAAACGGGCCATAGGAAACTCAATAAGAAATTCTAAACTAACTTTGACCAAATGAAAGGCAGATACCGAGCACAGTTTATTAATTAAATCTTGCCCAAGTACTTTCACTTCCTAGAGCATCTTCAGGGGCATCTGATATAAGCCCAGAAACGTTTTTTCAGCTAAAAAAAAAATTAATTAACTTCGATAAAAAACTCGAAGTTGATGGTTGATAAAAGTTTTTTATGTAATATATGATAATGTCAGAAACATAAAATTGTACATTAACAATACAGGACACAAAAACAGTTTAATTTTTTTTAAAACAGCGAAGCTACATGTTGATTGGCCTCAGGAGAGAGAATGGCTCCTGGTCTTAACGAAAATGTTAAGGTATCATGTGACATATGACAGCTTGGATAGGCAGTCATAATCATGGTGATGTGATCTGCACATTTTTCTATGACACTGAACATTTACCAAAGGTAAAACTGATACTGCTATAGGAAATCAACTAATGAAATATGAAATTATATAGAATAGTTTAAGTAGATTGATAATCCAGATCTCACACTCAAACCTGTCTATAATAATTAGGTTGTTAGTTTAAGGGCAACTGAAGTGGACGTAGAGTATGAATGCAAGAAATAGACTAAACAATCTATTAGATAGTGGGTGGTTCACTACAATAAAAGGGTCTGTCAAGCACTATCAATACGGTAGAAAAGAAGAAATCGAACTATACAATTGAAATACTAAAAATTAAAAATTTAAATTGAAAGCAGAGACCAGATTAACTGAGACCAACAGTGGGAGATGTTGAAATATATAACTGTGGAGATAGTATATCTAAATTACGCAGAGATATGGAGAGTGTAATCAACGCCAACTATAGATCAGTTGAACCTCAGCAAGCTAGTTTTGTAAAATATTAAAGAATAAAATAGTCATGTTAATCAAAGTATGACATTAGTAAATTCTTAATGGGTATATTTAGTGCAGGAAGTCTAAACTGCCGTGTTGGGTCCCCCACGAGGTGAAGCTGCAATAAAGCTCCAAATCTTCCAATAAATCCAACTCCAAATAGTTTTTCTTTTTACTTACGTCATGTAAAATGATGACTAAAACTTGAAGAGTTTGGTCTTTTCAAATGTTCTGAAATTCTAGTAGATAACTAACGAATGGTTCTACCTACATAAGAGCCATCACAATCATACATTTTAATTTGCAAATACCACTTTTGCCAAGTGTGTTCATCCTATCTTTGGTGTTATTTAAAAAGGAACCTAAAGTGTTGTGTAACTTGAAGGAAATTTTGATGTTTTTAATTGTAGAAGTAAAAAAGTTTTGATATTTTAGTAGAAATGTTGCTAATATAAGTAAACGAGAAATATCTGATGTTATTTGAATCATTGGGTTGAAGCAAACATTGTGATGAATATGCAAGCTTTTCTGCAATTTTGAGTTTATCTCTATTTAGAAACCTATGGATAATGTTGGGATCATAATTATTATTGAAAGCAATTTGCTTGAGAGTATTAACAAAGAATATAGACGCTTATATATATAAGCGTCTATATTCTTTGGTATTAAGTTCTAAATTGAAGTTATCATTCTTCTTCTTAATGTGCCCTATCAAGTCCCCTTGACGTTGGCGATTAACATGGCGAAACTGTCTCTGTCTCGAGCTATTCTAAAGAGTTGCTCAGCTTTCTTTATTCTTGTCCACTTTCTGATATTCTTCAACCAAGAGGCCTGCTTTCTACCAATTCCTCTGCGTCCTTCGATTTTACCCATCATAATAAGTTGAAGAATATTATATCGGTCTCCCCTTACTACGTGTCCAAAATAGGCCATCTTTCTACATTTGATGTTATCAAGCAGCTCTCCAACAGCATTTGCTCTTTCAAGGACTACCACATTTGTCAGCATAGCCGTCCATGGAATTTTTAGTATACGTATTAGAAGTAGATATAGAAGTTATCATTAGAAAGTGGAAATTTGAGTAGCAAGAAAAACTACTTGGAGTTGGATGTATTGGAAGGTTTGAAAATTACAAGGGAAACAAATGAAAGCTTTTACTATCTTAATAGTCAAATTAATTTAAATTGTACTAAATTTAAACCTATTTTTAAAAACTTTATTGCAGTTTCACCTCGAAAGAGACCCAGCTCGGCTGTTTAGACTTCCTGCACTGCGTATACCCCTTAAGAATGTATTAATTTCATACTTTGATTAATATTACTATTTTATTCTTCAATAATTTACAAAATTAGCTCGCTTAGGTTCAATTGATCTATTGGCGACGTGCAAGTACTTAAATGTGATACGAGAAACGATCGTGCGCGAGTAGCGGAGAAATCTTGCATTTTTTACTAGAAATTTCATAGATTTCATAAATTCATATTGTCAATTCAAGTGTCATATTTCATATTCGTTTGTTTATTTACACCTTCTGTCACTGAAGAAAATGGGATTTAGGAAATGCTGTGTTGTAAATTGTAAAAATACAACAAAAAATTATCAATTTAAGTTTTATTCGTTTCCATCTTCGAAGCACAAGTTACTACAAAGAGAAAAGTGGATTTATATCATAAAAAAGCATAAGTAACATAATCTAAATTATGCATTATTCTTGCCCCCGATTTTAAAGTCAGTTTGAAATAAATAATAAATAAAAGTTCACTTTTAAGTGTAAATTTTAGTTTCATAACACTCACTTAGAGTTCATTTTAACCCAAAAATCAAGTTTAATGTTTCAATTTTATTTTTTTGAAGTTTACGAAAACGCATCAAGTTCAAGTTTTTCTGAAGATGCATTAAGATATGATAAATTCGCTGTCCAAAAGTTTACAGGGAAAGAATTAAGTGTTCAAACCAATATGATGATATCATGGGTTAAACCTGCTAATTTATGCATTAGCATTATTTATGGTAATTTATTTTTCTTAATTCTTCCACATAATTCTTCCATTCTTTTTTGACATTTGCCACTACTAAAGCTTTTCCATTTCACTCAGTGCTTGGTTAAAAAGTTATTTGGTGATTTACTTTCTCAAATCCAGTTTTTATTATTGCATCCATATTAACAGTAATGATGTAATTTAATAATATATTTATTTGTATTTACACTACATACAACGTTTACCTTTTAATAACATACCGACATAACCTCAATCTTACTTTTTCTTTTTATTCTTTTTTGGGGCTACGTCCTTGGCAGTTATCCGGTAACCTCGATCTAACATGAAAGCGCAGTAAATTTTGCTGATTTACGGCACCAGGTGTCGCACTTCCGAACTTGCAGTCCCGTTGACGTTGATTACACTCTCCATTCTTCTTCTTCGTATGCCGTCCCCATTAACGGAGGTTGGCGACCACATTTCTAAAAGTTCCAGTTTTAGAAATTCGTTCGTTCGAAAGTGCGTTCTGTCTTTTGCAACGTGGAATAATTTATCTACAGTCATGTTTCACCAGTCTCGAATATTACGCAGCCATGACTTCCTCTTTCTACCTATTCTCTTTTGGCATCGACTCTACCCGGCATGATGACCTGCAGAAGACTATATTTATCATTCCTCAGTATGTGTCCAAGGTATGCAGTCTTGCGTACTTTAATTTTACTTTTATTTCCGTTAAGACCAGGAGCCATTCTCTCTCCTGATACCAATCAACATGTAGCTTCGTCGTTTTCTAAAAAAAATTAAACTATTTGTCCTTGTGTCGTGTAGTGTTATTGTAAAATTTTATAATTATTTGGCAAATATGACAGATAGGATAAATTTGACAAAGTAAGTCTAAAACGTTATATTACAAAAAAAATTAATTTTCTTCAAATCATGAATCTGTTGCTTGTCCATTTCAAATAGGTAAAGAAATAATAAATAAGACTTACTCACAATCAATTTAATTTAACTATCAGACGACCGGTTTCGCTTTCTACAATATGCAAAACATCTTCAGGTCTCGATACCAAGTTAAATAAATGCTGAAATAATAATAAACCCATATTAGGGTGTTGTCTAATAAAGTTAAACAAATTAGATGTTATAAATTACAATATTGTCATAATTATTTTAATTTATAACATCTAATTTGTTTATCTTTATTAGACAACACCCTAATATGGGTTTTTATCATTTCAGCATTTATTTAATTTTGTATCGAGACCTGGAGATGCTTTGCATATTGTAGAAAGCGAAACCGGTCGTCTGATAGTTAAATTAAATTGATTGTGAGTAAGTCTTAGTTATTATTTCTTTACGTATTTTAATTTTCTTCAGTTGAAAAAAAAACGGTTGTTAGCTTATTTCAGATGCCCCTGAAGATGCTCTAGGAAGCGAAAGTACTTGGGCAAGATTTAATTAATAAACTGTGCTCGATATCTGTCTTTTATTTGATCAAAGTTCAATATATCAACCTTATATCACTTTAAATTCTAAATTGTTAAATTATTGCTTTCCTAATTATTTTACACCAAAAGTCATGGGAAACTATTTGTAGAGGACTGAAATCTGTATTGAAAACAAATAATGTTAAAATTATTCTACGAATTAAACGTATTGCAAAATTTTGCAAAAATATAATATATTGTTCAGACCACCCCTAAAAGTCAGACCACACGCAGTGCATGAATGTGTATGGAGTATTGCGTTTGGTCATATTGATGTTTCTGATATTTGACAATATTGGAATTGCCAAAATTTTTATTTTGTGATTTATTGTCAAAAAAACAATAAAGTTAATTCAGAAATGTATTAAGATTAGGAGAATGTAGGAATAATAAAAATGTGTCAATTCTTTATTTAGCGTAAGATTTCCAAATAGACCAGTTCCAAGTCATTCAACAATTCAAAGGATTGTACAAAATTTTAAAAATACTGGGACCGTGATTTTTAATTGTACCTGTACAAACAATATTGCTGAGGTCCAAGAAACTTAGAAAAAAATGAAATAAATGTGTTAAGAGCAGTAGTGTAAAATCCTAGAATAACTTCTCGAATCATTGCAGACCAGTTTAATTTGGGATAGCGAAAATGATTTTTTGTGGTTAATTGTGCATTTTAATTCGTTTTTGAACATTACTCATCTTGTCATCATTCATGCTTTGTAAATGCACTTCCATTTCAGTTTTATGATACAAAAATTAAGAAAAAACGAACATGCCCAGTAAAAATAATAGCATCGAAGTCATTAAGAATAAAAAACAATATATGGAACAACGATCTAAGGAATTGAATAATATAGGGATAAGAACGAAGTAAAAATTATTCTTTGCGAATTATTAAAGTAAGAACTTAACTTCGGTCAAATCGGGAGATTAAGCTAGCCACAGAACTAGTCCACTGCTGTATCTATAAAATATCTCATATACTTCTTTTATTTTAGCTGTAGGAACATGCCCACCTATAGACGGAGTTTTTCCTGTATACCTTCCAGATGCTACGGACTGCACTATATTCTATGAGTGTTCAAATGGTCAACCAATTCAGTTACAATGTGCCCCCGGTACATTATTTGATGAAAAAAGGAGCATATGCGATGTCGATGTCAATTGCGGAAATAGGTCCACGCCTAAACCTCCACCTGCAGACTCATGAGTTTCCTTGAATTCTAATTTTATAAGATTTTTTAATAAAATTGTAAATTGTGTTATAAGAACTATTGTTAATAAACCATTTTAAAATTTTAAATGATAATAAAAACAGTTTTATAAAGCAATAAATGATAGTATGATATTGTTTCAAATAATATATATATATATATATATATATATATATATATATATATATATATATATATATATATATATATATATATATATATTTTTCTAAAAAAAGTCTGCTAAATAAACCAAAGCTAAATAAAACAAATTAGTTATAATTCCTATTATCCTAAGTACCTTCTCGATTGAGGTTAGTGATATTTTTCTTCTTCTTTCTTCTTGTATGTAAAATTAAAGCCTGGTTCCCATCCATTTATGTCTTCTATATTGCATGCTCTTCTTATATTTTCGCTTCTCTCCCTATCCATCAAACTTTTTTCTGATATTCGTCGGAGTATTTTCATCTCTGTTGTTTCTAATAGTCGTCTCGTTTCAGATGTGTCAGATCTTGTCTCCACCGTGTATGTCAATATAGGTCCAATTGCTACTTGAAAGATTCTTGTTTGTGTCTTGCCTTAGGTGTTTGTTCTTCCAGATTGTGTGTTCAATCACAAATTAATCCCTTAATTTGTAATCTCACATTATTCTTAACTGCTTAATCTTTTATAGTTTTACCGTGTATAATTTAGAATTGTAAAACTGTATCGAGTAATATTTTAATAATTAAAGTACAATCACCTGTTAATAAATGGTAGAATAATATATTTTCCAATTCAATATCCTAAGTGTTGCAATTACAGCCTAGAATAAATTGTATTGTAAGCTCGTAGTTCAAAATTTGTTAGTATGATAGAAACAATAACCTCTGTGCTGAGGTATACATTATTTGTGAGATTATAGATTGGGGATTTGAGCTCATGTGAGCGCAGTTTATTATAAGGAGTACCCAATAAACATCATATAGTGTAACTAGTAGTAGCTGTCAATAAAACCAACGTTTTACTCCACAACTTCAACGTTTTATTGTATTGATCATTGTCGATCGAGAAGAAGCGGACAAAGGGGCATTATATTACGATTCGATCCTTATAACTATGTTCAAATTTGTTTATTGGTCTTTCGACACAACAACATCAAAAGGGCGTTAATTGGGCGTTCTATTGAGTCAGAAGGTTAGTATGATAACAGAAGGAATTCTGAAAACAGAAGACCTCAAATTAGACCAAATTCTAGTGGGTTAGAAAATCAGTATGATAACAGGAGGAATTCTGAAAATAGAAGGCCACAAAAGAGAACAAATTCTAGTAGATTAGAAGGTCAGTCTGAAAACAGAAGGCCCCAAGATAGAACCAATTACGACAGATCATCAAGTTCATGTATTCTTGAACATTATACGTGCACAAGTTTATTGTACAAGCATGCCGATTATATTGTTCCTCAATACACATACTACATACACGAGTGCGTCAGTTTAAACTTGAACCATGTCATCGTCTGATGACGCCAACGTATTGGCCTCTGCTGCAGCAGTTCAACTTTTTAAAAAATAACGAAAAAAACGTACAGTTTGGTATAAGGGGTGACTAAAGAAGAGAGAAACCTGTGCACATACGAATCTGTTAAATTAATTGAAAGTGTACCCACGTAAATGGCATAATTATTTACAAATGTACAAAGAAACTTATTTGCAGTTATCACTCGTTTAAACTTTTTTAATTCAAACAGAAGACACTATTATGCGAGAATCTATACGTCCTCATGAAAGCCTAACTACAACCTTACGATTTCTTGCAACAGGAAGTAGTTACTAGAATCTAAAATTTTCAACTAGAATCTCATCCCAAGCACTAGACCACATCATTCCTGAGACGTCTTGCCTGTCTTGTCTGAGATTTCTAGCCACGCCTGTCGTGCACTATCTTAAGTGCTGAAAAAATATTTAAAAGTAAAAAAGCGGAACCTTGGTTGACTGAGATCCCTCTAGAACTTTCTCGGCATTTGGTGCTGCACCTTTGTCTACTCAATGCTTCTTAGTTTTCTCCAGTAATCCCGGAAAAATAATTAAATAATTATTTTTTTTAGTTTTCTCAAACAATAGATGACTGGAAATGGATAGCGAATGAGTTTGAAACGAGGTGGAATTTTCCTCACTATATAGGTGATTTGGACGTTAAACATGTTTAGATCATACCAGCAGGAATCGGTTCATATTTCTACAATTACAAGAAGACTCACAGGATGGTTCTACTGGCTATTGCTGACGCCAACTATAAGTTTGTATTATGGTACGAACGAACGGGTCTCTGATGGCAGTGTTCTCAAAAACACAGTATTTTTTGACAGGTTACAGAAGAACCTGCCGAATATTTCGCGTCCTGGACAGAGAAACAATCTGCGATAGCGTTTGTAGCAGACGATGCCTTTGATTTAAGAACCAATATGTTAAAACAATTTGTGCAAAGTGATCTGAACTGAATAGAGAAGAAAATTTATAATTACAGATTAAGTAGAGCTCATCGTATTATTGAAAATACATTTGGGATTCTAGCAGCCCGTTTTTGTAATTTTCACAAAGCCATCAAAAAGGTAAAAAATATTGAGTCGGACGAGTCGGTAGCGATGGCAAGTTCTTCATTACATAACTTTTTGATGTCAAGATTAGGCTACGTCTATGCTCCACATGATTGTTTTGATCTCGAAGGTACAGAAGATAGATTGATCAATCCCTGATTGATCAATCAATCAACGCAAAATTCAAATTTACAAGCTTTATAACGAACTCATCCTTGCAATGTACCAGTATCAGCCAAAGATATACGAAACGAATTTATGAAATACTTCGCAAGTGAAGAAAAGGTGTCTTGGCAGAACGATTTTATTAATTAAATCAACATGTAGGGAAAAATATTTAAATTTTTTCAAATACGAAGTAACACTCTTTGTTGTATTTCATACTTACAGCATTTTCTTTTAAGTTTGAGGACAAATGTCTGGGAATATCTTGGTCTTCCAAAAACTCAAACATACCAAAGTACCATAAATTGGGCGTATATACTTCGTCGGTGCCATCTCCAGACTTTATCGAAGTGTCTAGTCATTTTTCTCCTTCCTGTAATTAGTTCGAAAGGCGTTAATTTTTTACGGACCACAGACATGGATCCTGTTCGTAAATCGAAATAAATTCTTCGAGACATTATCGATGTCCATTTTTCATGTTACTCGTCATAACAAAACTCGTATTGCACCAGTCCAGTGGAAACAACAATATGGTCCATCTACACGAATGGTCAAAACTCAATTGTTTCAAACTTGTACATCTTTCACATACACAGGCTCTATTACACTTGCGCAAGTCTGACATGCACAAGCAAAAATTCCAAAATTTCCGCTCTCACGTCACTTGTACAGTTAACATTATTGTGCAAGTATTGCCTGAAACACGTTCCAGTATACTTGTGCAATAAACTTGTGCATGTATACTATTCAAGTATACATAAATGTGTATGAAGGTCTTTACTTATATTTTCTATTTCAGCTTTTAGTTCCTTGAGAGTGTGATGATGCTGTTAACTTCTAAATAGTGAAACCGTTCGCCCAACCTTTTTCTTAATAAATATCAACAACTTTTTTTTTGGGAGGTGAGAATCTTCAAAAGACCGTCAGGGAAGGTGTCCCTGGTGTGTCGGATTAAGTTCGACACGCTGCATCGCGTGCTGAGACTGCCTACCGACTAAACTCATGTCTGACCCGTCGACCTTACTCATAGCTCTCCCCAACACCCCCAGCGTAAATTCCATAGATTGGTCAGCCTTACGGGTACCCCCCACCCAGGCCCAGCACATCGAGGCGACCGAGGACGGAAAAGAGGGTGGTCGGGACGATCTTCAACCTAAGATGAAACCAACCATAAGATGTCAGTCGGCAGTTACGAATAACTCCAGTCGTTCATACCTTCATCTATTCACTCTTTCTCATCCACCCATTCATCCATACTTAGTCTCATTCAACTTGTCATTCTTAAGTTTCATCTAAACACACCTACTTATCCACCCATTCATTCTGACATTTAGATGGGGCAGTCTGTGTAGGTCGGATGTAAAAGGTCCTTCCCCGCTGACTGTCCCTAGACGAAACATGATATACAGGAATGAAATAGACTGACAAAAAGGAGATGATAAAAAAGAGCAAAGATATGATTAGAGAAGAGAGAAATAAGAGGAGGGGTGAAATAAAAGATAGGAAAGAAGCCAAAGAAAGAAGAAAGAAAAGATAGATAACATAAACAAGAAAAGGAAATTTAAAATAAAATTGTTCAGCGAACAATAACGTATAAAAAAACACAAAAGTTAAAACAGTTCACACTTGTATTGTGGTATAAAAACAAATTAACTTTTTAAAAAAGTGTCGTCAAAATTTATCTACTAGCATAACGTTTTCGATCGGAACAGATCATCCTCAGTGCCTTGTGTAATTGATGCTAACAATAAAGTTATCGCTGAGACCTCCATATATAGGTTTACATCATTCCAAATGTTACATTTTAATTATGTTGTGACTCTAGGTCGATGACAATGGATAAATTTTAATTACTTTAGGGACTACATTTCGTCCTGCTCGATTTTTAACACGTCGACGTGTTCCGATCCGAAGGACCTCGTGCTACACTGGGACCCCGTATAGTATTATGAACAGTATTGATTGAAGCATTACTGTCCTCTTTTGGGATCCGCGTCCCCCGATGTTGGGCATTAACTTGTTCAGTGTTGAGGTCCTTTCTTCCGCCTTCCGACATGCTTCTTGCACATGCTGTCCGAAATAGGATCTGTCATCGAAGGTTATTCCTGTAGTACCTGACTGTCCTTTGGTGTCTTATTTCGGAGTCTTAATATGCGAAGATTATATCGTTTCTTTTTCGTGGTCCCCTCAAGATTATTACTTCTGACTTTTCAACTGCTAGTCTTAGGTCGTTCTTCTCTACTCACCGCGGTCAATCTTATCGTATTATTTACCTTTTCTGTTATTCCCCAATTCGTATTGTGAGGCCCCAGTTTGCTGAATTAAGAGCATTTCTTATGTCCAGCAGAACAAGGACCACCCTTTTTTTCTTGCTTGTCTT